CCAGCTGAAACCCCTACATGCACATGTACGGCGTTTGGTTTGCACATACGCAATCAGTAATGCTTAGTACCCAAAGACTGACTCCGCGTCCAGGCCGTTGCAAGAGACAGAAGAAATGTGGGCCGTGCATCGATAGCAAGGTTAGAAGGAAAGAACTTAAGAGCCTCTGGCCTTGTCCTCATGCAGTATGAGAAAAGAGCCACCTCTCAAAACAAAAACCACGAAATAGGCTATGTTATGTTTGAATCACTGTGTTAACTTGGAAAGGAGAAGCTTAACTAAGTAGCTCAGCAACTCTCCATCCTGGAGCATGGAGAGAGCACAACCTTAGCCTCTAGGATGTCGTTCATTGTGTCAACTTGAGAAATTTAGAAGTTTAACTGTGTGGTTCAGCAGGGGGCCGGGTCTTCACTCTGTAAGTATCCTGAGCCTGTGCAAGAGGAGGCCAGGAGATGGTGTGGGTGCTACACCACCCTAGAGTGGGTCTCCCACATGCAGCATAAGGGAGGGAGGGAGGCTTGTTCTCCCCTCCCTGCCCTTGTTGCTGTCGCTGTCTTCACCACCATCTTCTGGGGCTCTCTGCCACGCACCACTCTGCCTTGGAGCCAGCTGAGTATGGCCCAAAACTTCTGCAAACTGTGAGCTAAATAAACCTTTCCTTCCTTAATTTTGGGTGTCAGGTATTTTGTCTCAGCGATGAGAGAAAAGTAACTAATACAGAGGAGCAAAACCTAAACAGAATCCTGACCAAAAAGATTCAGCAGGTTTCTCTTCCTTTGTCTTTTTTATGCCAGTTTTGCTCCTAGGATTTTCATAAGATGCTTCACCTTATCTAGAACATTCAATAGGGCCATTTCCAGTTAGTGTGTGCTTATTTTAGAAAGTCTGCTCTCTCCAAATAAATTCACAGCAGGGTTTCTCTGACTATGTAACTATAAGATGATGAATATGTTTCTTTAATTTAGAAATGACTGCCTGGGCTATTAGTGTCCTCATTTTGCTTAGCTTTCTGTGATTCCAGGACTAGAAAGAACCTTACTGAGCACTGTGTCTACAATTTAATTTACAGAAAAGAAATCCGAGACCCCAAAAGAAGACAGATCTGCCTAGGGCCACAAGGCTGCTTGGGGTGCAGCCTCCTGCCCTCAGGGCCACGTTCTCCCCACAGCAGCCCCCCACCCCCAGCCAGGTCTTAGCTGGTGGGGTTCAGAGACTGAGTGAACCTTAGCTGTGAGCTCCAGCCCACCGCCTTCAGCACTGCACTGGGCTTTGGGATGCAGGAGTGAGCTGAGTGACGGGAGAAATTCAAACACACGCCCCTGGGTGTTTCTTCGGGATGTGCCGTGCTGTGGGATGTGGGTTCTCTTTGATATTGTTCACCCTCTTCCATGAAGCCAAAGCCTCCATAAGAAGGAAGCAACCTCTTGGCCCCATAAGAGACCATTTAGCTTAGTGTAATACTTGGCTGAGCTGCAAAACCTCATCTTCCTCCTGCCTCCTCTGCCTTGCGCATGTGGGCGCGTCTGCGTGCACGCACACGCACACGCACACGCACACGCACGCACACACGCGCGCGCACACACACGCATCACACACACGCACGCACGCACACGCACACACGCACACGCACACACACACACACATACACACACGTCACACTTCTATTCTTAGCTGTGGCCACATTGGAAAAGATGTATCCTCAGAAAATCTCACAGCACCTGGCTCACTCCCCTACTAGAAATGGTCCTTGTGGATGGAGTGATTTGTTTGCTTGAAACCCTGAAGTCGGAGAAAGGTGACCAGCACCATCTGAGACAGGCAGTGTTTTAGACGGAAGCCAACCCTCGCTATATTGCAAACTATTCGTAGTTTTCTTCCTCGTAGCCTTTTGTGTGAGGTGCATAACGTCCTTTCATGACACCGTACAGGTGGAGTTGCTGGTTGCTCAGAATGCTGTCACGTTCTGTGGAAATCTTTGGACACATTTGGTGTCAGGGCTCCCGGATCGTGTATGCATAAATTGTGCGAGTTTTAGAAGTTTAAAAGGTAAAATGAAGCTGGGCGTGTAACTAGTGGTATAGTGCTTGCCTACCATAAAAGAGCCCTGGGCTTGATCCCTAGCACCACAAAAAGAAAACAAAAGTAAAATGAAGTGTTAAAAATACGAGTATAATATTTTTCCAGAATTTTTCCAGAATGCTGCCTAAGCACGGTGTCAGCCTTTCGAGTGTAGATCCATTGCGGGTGGGAGCTTCAGGGCCAGGGGTGTTGTCGCAGGTGCTCTGAGCTTTTCCCCATGAACAGACAGAGGGGCACCTCCTGGTTGCAGTGAGTTTCCAAGTTCATCCTCTCCAACGGGCCCTGCTCTCCACCCACCGGCTGGCTTAATAGGGAACAAGCCCTTTTCTGCTACAAACAATGACGCATCTTTTTCGCTTTTAGTACATGTTTGCATTACACAGTGCTTACGTTCCTCTTGGGGACTTCAGAGGTGTACGTAGCACATCCCAGGTCTTTCCTATTCTCTTGGTCTCTTTGTCCACCTCGTGTCTCCTTCCCATTCGCAAAACATCTCTCTCCCAGTTTCCTAGTGCCTGTCTTCTACTTTGTTTTTTATTTCTCTTTTAGTGTCTCATATAAGAGAAACCATGTGGAATTGAAGTTTGTGTGTCTGACTTATTTCACTTAACATTATGGTCTCAAGCTCTATTCCATTTATGTTTGAATGCTACACAGGGCAGAGATATAAGGGATTCAATTCCCGTAGCAGTGCAGGTGGTTGGAGAAGAACCCTTGCTTTTGATAAAGGAAAGTCACAGCACCTAATTCACTGGGAGAATGGAAAAACCAGAAAGAAAAGTAAGCCATCAATGTCAGAATAAAAGGTCACAGGAAAGAATATAAAGGAAAGATTTCTCGCTTGTTCTTTGATGAATAGAACACACCAATTTTGAGAGTTTGTACAAGTAACCCCTGATGCGAAGTCAGGTATAAGAATTACTACTAAAGGTTTGGGGCTAGAGCTCGGGGGTGCAGTGTTCGCCTTAGCACCCGAGATGCCCCGCGTTTAACCTGCATACTGCAATAACAGTAATAATAATGATATTGTTGCCATGATTGTCTTGGATTATTTATGCATTTGTGAAGCATCTTCTGAGATTATGTCCTTTGCTAGAACCTACAAAAGATCGTGAAGAGTCATCAGGAGCCCTTGTGTTTCCCATCTATATGAGATTCACATCTAGTCTGGACAAGGGGAAGACAGCTTAGTGCAATGTGTTGGAAAAAGTCCTTAGGTAGCACTGAAGACTTTTTTTTTATTTGTATTTTAGGGAAGGGTCTACAGGGTGTTCAGGGTCTCACT